ATTGGCACCACCGTCACGGCAGCACCGCTGTCGAAGTTCACTTCGACGTGCTGGTCCTGCGGACCTTGGCTTTGGCCGCCGGACGCCGAAACGGCATTCGTGGCCAGGCTCACCTCAACAGAGGCAACCACTGCGTCGCCCTCGGGAGGATCCTTGGGGTCCGCCATCCGCCCCAACTTTCGTCTTCATCGTCATCTTCTTCTTCCTCCTCGGGCTCCTTTCTTTTCTCTCCTCTTTCTTTCGTCTTTCCTTTGTGCTTTCCTTTCCCTTTGTGTTTTCCTTTCCCTTTGGTCTTGTCGGCAAGCCGCTTCCGTCTCAACGCTCTCTTCTCGTTGATCTTCCTTCTTTTCTCTGGGTCCCGCGGCTTCTCGACCTTTTCCTTTCTTTCTTTCAGCTCCTCGTCGTACTCCTGTAGGTCCGCTCCTTGCGGCTCAAAGGTTTCGCCGCCAGGTCTGTCGCCTCTTCCTTGGCGACCTCCTTACCAGTACATCCTCCCGGAGGGATGATCGCTTTATTCTACTTTGCGAAAATTTTTCATGTTTGAAAAATTAACATCATGTTTTTCCACAAGACTTTCAATTTCACTGTTGCAACGGTTGGCTGTTGAACATGTGATGAATCTATGTCCCTCGCTCGCCTCAAGTGGTGGGAGGGTGGGACAGCAACATAAGTTTGCTGTAGTTTTTGTTGGGGCGGGTCCCGCCATGGAAGGTTCTGCCTTCAGTCTTCTGGCTAAGAGTGTCGGGCATAGAGATGCTGCGCGCTTGATCTGGGACTGCCTCTCGTCTGTCGAGCGCCTGCAACTTCTTCGTACGTGTTGGTACATTCGCTGCAGCTGCTTTTGCGCCCAGCCTTGAAATGAGTGACCAACTGTCAGAGGGAAATGGGGGCAGTGACAGGCCAGTTGGTGGAGAGCAAGAGGAGCTGCTTAGTCCTTTCGAGGCTCACCTTGACAGCTTAGCAAGTCATGATTTTCTGCGTGGTTCGGAAGATGGTCGACAGCAGTCTCCTTTTCGCAGTGCGAGTTTTGACCCTAGTGAACTGGAAGAGGCTCAATGGTATTCGAATGCGAATGTATCTGAGAGGGCAGGCAGCATTCGATCTTTTTCTGCTGCGGCTGCTGACCGCTCGGGGCCTTCGCATTCTTGCGGACCTTCTTTTGCTACAGTAAGTGGAGCTGCATTATCGGCTGGATCAATCAATGTGTCAGCGGCCGTTGCCGCGGCACACCAAAGCCTTCCGGCCCCTGGCATTAAATTTTTCTGGGAAAGTGGTTTTTGGTCTCAGATTTTTGGTGGCAGGAACGACGCTGCAAACTTATATGGGGCAGACTTCAAGAGGCCCGAGGCACCTGTGCTTGGTGAGGCCGAGCTACAGCCCAGGAAAGTGCCCAGACAGTCTGGGCCGTCAGTTGGAGCGGTGGGCGGCTCCTCCTTCTTGAATGCTGTGCGTGATCGTGAAGTTCTCAGCTGGAAGCAGAAGAGAGATAAGGAGAGGGATGAGGCTCTTTCTCTCTGGGAATCTTTGCTAGTTACCTGGCCTGAAAGGATTACTGTGATCGGCCAGATTTTGGTACTCGAACCACAGGTCCGCAGAGGTATGGTGGAAGACCTCTTGGGAGGCAAGGCACCGGCCACTCTGAGGAAGAGGTATCGCTCAGTTTTGGGGTATGCTTTATTCCTTCGCAACCGGAGGGTCGATTTTCCTGGCAGCGAGGAGTTGTTTTATGCTTACATGTGCATGTTGCGAGAGGAGGGCAAGCCATCGTCTACTCGCAAGTCGCTGCTTGAGGCTATTACTTTTTGCCGATTTGTTTTGGGGATCCCCGAGCTGGCTTCCTTGGGGGAGAGCAAACGGTGCCACGGTTCTGCAAGGGCCCGTGACTTCAAGCCTCGAGTGCAGGCTTCTCCTTTTACCGTGGAGGAGCTCAGCAAGTTGCATCGAATATTGTTTGAGGACCCTGAGCCGTGGAATCAACTCATGGCTGGATCCCTGTTATTTTGTGTGTACTCCCGCGCCCGGTGGGAAGATTTGGAGCATGCCGACCGCCTCATAATCGATAGGGCCGATGATGGCATGGCTGCGTACATCGAAGCATCGGTCGGGGTACATAAGACGATGGGTGCAAAGATTATGAAAGGGCAACTTTTGCCTCTGGTTGCACCGGCTGTTGGGGTGGTAGAGGGCAACTGGGTCGAGCAGTACGTCAAGGTACGCGGCCGCTTGGGTTTGCAGGAGCCCCCCCACAGCCCTGTTATGCCGGCCCCCGACCGACAGGGGATGCCAACGATTAGAAGCTTGGATTCGGATGAGGCTGGGGACTGGGCCCGACTGCTCTTGTTTGGAAGCAAGGAGGTTCGCCCGGAGCGTCGTGTCTCGAGTCATTCTTGCAAGTGCACGTGCATCAGCTTTGCGACGAAGTTCGGGGCTAGCCCTGAGGAATTGCTTTTGCTGGGATATCATACTGGTGACTTTAAGATGCCCTTGACATATGGTCGGGATTCTGCCGCGCCTACTTTGATTCTGCTTAATAGAGTTCTCCTCGCCATCCGACAGGGAACTTTCAAGCCTGATTGCACCAGGAGCGGCCGATTCGTGAAGCCTTGCTCAGGTGCTGTTGTTGAAATCAAAGATGAGGATTCAGTATTGCCTGAGGCTGAACCGTGCGAAGAGCCAGTTTCGTCTGAAGCTGCGACCACTGGCTCAGGCAGCAGCTCGGAGTCTTCTTCCGTGCCGGTTCAGGGTAAGCCTTCGTTTGCAAGGTGGGTTATCCCTGACCCACCGGAAGGGATGAGTTATTTCGAGCATACCAGATTAAAGACTTTGCATCTTGTGCAAGACGGGCATACGAGAAGCTTCGCATGTGGCCGTTCCATCGGGCCGCTGCATAGGAAGCTTACTGATCGTCCAGGTCCGGTGTACACCCGATGCAGGATGTGCGCAAAGATCGCGGAGGCATGATAGGTCAAAAGAAGTTCTTTTGCGGAGTGCGCATGTTCGTTCATGTGGCAGTCATGTACATGTCTTTTTGCTGAAGCTTGTAGCCATGTTCTGTTGTGTGCGAGACGAGGGGCTCGAAAGAAGCCTCAGTGAGGTAGATCGGCGTGTCAACCATCATAGAGAGTGAAGCCGCTTTCGAGCGGAGATGTCTGGAGATCAGAGGGGATGGGTCCCTAGTGGCGGGGATGGCAGGGCAGGGAGTGAAGACGTTCAGGTCTTTGGCCTTTGCTCTGGGCACGCCCCAGACCCCGCCGACGGAACTCGCCTTTGCTGATTTGACAAAGAAGGTCTTCGGCTCGGGTGACGGGGATCCTACAGTGGGTGAGCTTTCTTGCATTCGCCAGCTGCATTTCGAAGCATCCACACTTGTGAGTCATGAGTCAACGGATGGAGCACCGATGAGGAAGCTCCCGCTGCCTGAGAAGAGAGCCCGTAAAGAGTCTCAGCAGGCGCGTCTGGCAGGTTTGGAGTTGGAAGGAGAGCTGGATCCAGCTTATCAGTTGGTCGATGCTTGCAACCACCAGCTCGAGCACTCTGTCATTTATTGGTTGGCTCCATCTAAGTGTCCTAAGAGAGAGCTTGAAGTCATTGCTGGGTTCAAGGAGAAACCTAGCGTGCTGCAAGTTGAACAGAATACGGTGAAGCTCGGAGGACCCAGCACCACGATCGGGTGCGATGCTTCTGATGCTTTGAGGTGTCAGTGGGCCTGGCAGCGTAGGGGATTGGCGTACGATCAGTGTCGCATGATTTTGTACAACGTTCATCAAAAGTGGGTGCAGAAGCTGCTTGATTGTCTTTCGATAGTTCCGCCACCGAACTTTGCAGCAGTGACTCTCTCGCAATGTGTGCGGGCAGACAAGGAGATGTTTCTTTTGATGTCGCAGGAGGGCCTTCCATCTTTCAAACAAGACGCTTCGGGGAAACTTCCTTTGGATGCAGTCATGAGCCGTTTGATGTATGATCAGCGCATCGGTCAGTTTTTGCTCCCTATGCAGAAAACTCAGGTGCAGAGGGTCCCGGGCGTGCCGTCTAAGGATTCTGAGAAGCCGGGACCTCCGGATGGTCCTCCACCCAAGGTCCCGAGAATTGCCACTGAGAAGGCGAAGGCTAAGGCGAAGGCTCGTGGAGGTCCAAAGAACAAGCCGGCGAGTCTTGCACAGTACGAGACCCGGACCAAGTTTGGTAATGCATGTTGGGGTTTTAATCTGGAGGATGGTTGCAGCAATAAGACTGAGAAGGATCCGAAGTCAGGTTGGATGAAGTGTGAGAAAGGGCTGCATGTTTGCGCGGCGTGTCACAAGCCGGGGCATTCCGTCCTTACGTGCAAGTCAGCAAAGAAGGAGTGACTAGCTCCTTTGCAGGCTGAGTGTCACTCCAAGCCAGTCGCGTCTTCTGCTGACAGAACAGCTGCCGGGGAAGTGTGCGATGCTCCGCACTGTCGAGAGTCCGTTAAGCGGACTTCGAGCTTGAGTGGTGTTCCCTTGAGCGTGCATGTGAATGCAGTCGGCAGCTGTGCCGATGCCGAATTCCTTCGGGCTAGATTGCAACTTAAACGACGATCCGATCCAATATGTCATGGGAATCCCGTGTGCACTGGCACATCTGGGGTTAGTGCTGAGGCAAGCCGTGCCATTGAGATGGCAGTGCCTGCAACATCGGGTTTAGGGTTTTCTCCTAGGCACCCCCTCGCGAATGCCGATTCGGAGGGCCCCGAGACCCCTTTGAGTTTAGATCCTTCAGGAGCTGTGACTACGAAGACAGTTGCTTCGTCGACCAAGGCGGAGGAGACACCTAACCGACCTGCCTCATCCGAGGCTCTGGCTCGAGAGCTCCTACGCATAACCCGCTTCGATGCTGCCAGCTGTCTTCGCTTGTTGGACTTGGTACCTAAGGATAAGTCTTTGAGGACTTCTCAAGCTCAGACCTCAGAGGGTGGAAAGCTTGGTTTCGGCTTTTATGTTCGCGCAGGGGAGGCCTGTGTGTTCAACAGCTGTTCCGACATGCCGATGGTCTGCCGCTACTTGACATCTCTTGTTCGTGCAGTTGATCCGACGCTCGAGTTTGGAGCCTTGCAGCTTCTTTTCAATGTCCAGTCGGGTTTCCATCTTGACAAGTTCAATGAAAAGGGTTCGCGCAACTTGATCATTCCGCTGACCGATTTCGTTGGCGGCCAGGTATGGACTCGCGATGAATCTGGAGATGCCACTTACGACCATAATGGGGTTAGTCTCAGGGGTCGCTTGATGGATGTTGCATCAGGCCCAGTCAAGCTTGATCCGTCGGTGCACCATGCAGTCATGCCTTGGCAAGGAAATAGGATAGTCCTTATCGCATACATGCCGTCGTTCTCGGAGCGACTTCCCACCGAGAGTCGATCTCTCCTGTCTGAGCTGGGATTTGTTTTCCGCAATCTCAATTCAGGTGCCACTGTCAAGCTCCGTGACATTCGCATGGTCACTCAGGGCCCTCCTGCTCCAGGATCTACGCGGCCCCTGCCGGCCGAGGTACCGCTTGTTCTTGAACTGTGCTCTGGGCACGCAGTGTTGTCTCGGGTTGCTGAGAATTTGGGTTTTCAGGCCTTGTCGATTGATAACAATTCTTCCAGGGCTCCTGGGAAACAGATCATGCGCCTTGATCTCGCTGACGCTGATAATATCGATTACCTCTGTGAGCTAGTTGAGTCCGAACGGAGTCGGATTGCTTTGATTTTCATTTCGCTTCCTTCAGGAACTGCAAGTGTTCATCGGGGCAAGCACATTGAAAAGTGGGTTCGCCAAGGTTTCCAGTTGCCTTCTGCTCTTCGGAGTTCAGACTACCCCGATATGTTGCCCGGGCTCTCTGGGTCTGACCGCCGCCGAGTGGAAGAGGCTAACCAACTGTACTTTGAAGTCGGGCGCCTGGTTCAATTTGCTTGTTCCTTAGGACTCCTTGTGGCTCTTGAGAACCCTGACAGCTCGCTCTTTTGGCAAACTTCTTTCTTTCGTAGTATTGAACAAGTTGCCAAGGGCTTTTTGACACGTTTCCATTTGTGCTGTCATGGTGGTGAGCGGCCACGTCTCTTGCGATTATGGGCTTCTCAGGATGTGTTCGCCCCCCTGGAGGCTAGGTGCGATGGCTCGCATCAGCATCTTCCTTGGAAACCCCGTCTAGTGGGACGCCAACTGCGCTTTACTACGGCTGATGAGTCCACTTATCCGACCGCCCTGTGCCATCGGTTGCTGTCTCTGGTGGCGGTGCATTGTGGTTTGCCGCTTCACCTGCCAGAGTCGGCTTCTGGAATCCCACTCAGTCACAAAGCTACCAGGATTGCATTAGGCATTCAGCCACGTGGCAACGCTTTCGGTCCCCTCGTGGCTGAGTTTTCGCATTTTCTTTCATGCTTTTGTCCTTCGTCGAAGCCTCATCTTGCCGATGCCTATTTGGCACAGCTGCCTAAAGGTTCTCGCATGGTCCGTAGGCAGGTTTTGAGGTCGGGGGAATTTTCTCAGGCCGTCGAACATTGCGAGCATTGCATCTTTCTTGAAGTGAATGATCCGAGATCGCACAGCGGTGTGTTGCCATCAGTTGAGCTGTGCAGCATAGGCATCCCTTGCGAGCCGGATGAATTCATAAGAAGGGCCGTAGAAGTGGGTCATCCTCGCAGTCTTGATTTTCACCTGGAGGAGGAAGTCAGTAAGGCAGTACGATCCAACTTTGTGGACGATGCATCGGAGCTGGCTCGCTTTAGGATCTCCTTTGTCAAGAAGTGGAGTGCACGTGCCCAGGAGCTTCAACCAGCTGAGGATAAACTTCATTCTGACATGCCCGATTATTTGTCCGAGGTGCTACGTGGCAAGCGGCTCTTGTTATTCAAAGAGATGATGACAGCCGCGGGCTGCAGTGATGAACACTTGTTCCGGGACATTGCTTCGGGTTTTCGGATTTCAGGGTGGATGCCTGTGACAGGTAATACGGCTCCCAAGGTCCGGGCTCCAAAGATGTCTTCCACCTCTCTTAGGTTGTTGGCCCCGGGTTTAAATAAAACTGTCTTTTCCAAGCTTGCTAGACGACAGGACGAGGAGCTTGAGCAGACAGTTTGGACCGAAACTCAAAAGGAGATTGACGCCTGTTGGGTTTGGGTCGCCACAGAATTCTCAGGCCGTAGCATCACCATGCGCTTTGGCATTCGCCAGGGAGGCAAAGTAAGGTTGATAGACGACTGCACCATCTCTTGCTTGAACCTTACCGTGGGCTTGAGGGAGAGGTTCGAATTGCACACGATAGACAAGCTTGCCGCAGTTCTTTCCTGTGCTTTAGAATGGGCCCCTGCCGGCCATCTGAATCACTGGGTTGGAAGAAATTATGATCTCAAGTCGGCCTACAAACAGTATGGCATTCATCCAGATGACCGTGATCTGGTTCGCATTGCCGTCAATCGGCCTGGACAAGATTCGCCGGAGATTCTGGGCTTGAACGCCCTCCCCTTCGGCTCTGTTGCTTCCGTTAGTGCTTTCCTGAGGGTTTCGTATGCCGTTTGGAAAATCGGTATTGTCCTGGCCCGAGTGCTGTGGACTGCATACTTTGATGACTTCACGAATGTTTGTAGGTCTCTCCTGAAGGATAACACTGCTTGGGCCATCGAAAGCTTGTTTGACCTCTTGGGCATCTCTTTTGACAGGTCAGGTCGCAAGGCTGTGGAGCATGCTGCAGTTTTCGGTACACTTGGTCTGCAAGTAGATTTGTCCCACTCAGCAGAGCGCCGGGTGCTCATTGGTCACACAGAAAAGCGGAAAGATGAGCTTGTGGAATCCTTGAATGGCATAATGGATGCCGGGAGCATTGAGCCTAGATCTTTCGAACGCCTGCGTGGGCGCATGGTCTTCTTTGAAGGTTACAGCTTCGGCCGTGTCAGCAATCAGGCTATGCGCACTTTGGCGCGTGCAAGCAAATCCAGTGTCACTTTCGAGTTGGGCCTGAGGCATAAAGCTGCGCTTCAGGTTCTTCTTGACCGTGTATCTTCGTCAGCTCCTTTGATTGTTCAGCCGCGTATCAGGTCCACTTGGATCCTTTTCACTGACGGAGCTTGTGAGCCAGAGCGACAGTGGGGAGGTATAGGGGGGGTTCTTATCTCCCCGAACGGATCTTGTGCAGGATACTTTGGAGAGGAAGTGCCGTCCTCCCTTATGCATGATCTTCTCGCTGCTTCGAAGAATCCGATCTTTGAGCTCGAGCTTGCTCCTTTGCTCATCGCGTATGAGCTCTGGGGTAACTTGTTTGAGGGATCACAGCTGGTGTGTTATCTTGATAACGAGGGCGCGCGGCACTCTTGCATCCGTTGCTTTGCTGACTCATCTGAGTCATCGGATTTGTGGGTGCAGAAGATTCTTGAGCTCGAGATGCAGTCTCGAGTGCATGTGTGGTACGGCCGCGTACCCACTTCCTCGAACATTGCCGATGGTCCTTCGCGGCTGACCTTTGGTGCAGTCGAGCACATGTGCAGGTACAGGTCACGTCCTTCGTTGGCCACTCTCCTTTCAAGAAGGGGGTGAGCTCAGGGTATCGTGGCATTCCCCTTTGGAAGAAAAATGAAGGCCTGCCTGTGCGAGATTTTTTATATATTATATTTCTTTGAAGAAAGATATCTCGATTATATTTGAGATGATCTTTGTGGAAATATTCGCAATTATAATAATTGCACATGATGTGTTTCGCAACAGGCCTATTTTGAAACTTGTTCCATTCGGCTTTATAGCTCAAGCTATGTTTCAAATGCGACGTTGCTTTTGAAACTCGCTTTTCGCACAACCTTCTTTGAACCTGGGGGGGCAAACAACTGACTTTTAACTTTTTGTTTTGCCGCGAACTCTCGTCCTGATGCGAGCCTTGATGTTGATCCTGTTAATGACCTCACGTCCGGCAGTCATTTGTGGATCGAGTTCGCCATCGGGCGAGATTCGAAATTTTTGTTGGGGCTCTCTAAAGGCCTGTAGTGCTTGCTAGCAGCCCCCAGGTGCTAACCCAAGGCTGGGCCTAGCCCTCCGTGCAAGACTGCCGCTGTGCGGCGGTCGGATGGACTTTGGCGACGCTTTGTCTGCAGGTTCTAGTCAGCGCGGTGCAAGTGACTCCCCTAGCACTGTGAGCGAAATCAGCAGGCATCTTTACGAGCTTCAGCTTCAGGTCAATACTCTTGAGGCCCACGTGAGAGCTTGGGAAAGACGAATCAGGCATTTGGAACAGCAGCTTCCTTCCTCGCGAGTCTCCGACTCCGAGAGCACGTGGGCCCCTTCTCTTTTCGGTTCGTTTCTCACTTGCCTTACGCGTCGCTAGCTTGCAGCCTGAGTCTCAGCCTACCTGCTTCATTCTGCCGAGTGATTTGGGGAGTAAGCTGTCATCATGAAGAGGTCGGCCGACCACGCATATGAACAACATCTTGATGAGGTGCTCAGAGGTCCTAAGAGCCGGTTCGTGCAGCCCTGGGAAAGGTCACCTGTGCTTCAGCCTTTCAGGTTGTTTCCGCAGCTTCCCAGGCATCAGCAGGTGGCGGTTGCCGCGCCGCTCGTACCGACGAGCGGGCCAGCCACTCCACCCAAGGGTGCTGGCCAAAGTTCCATGTCACATGTCGGGCCCAAAGCAAAGACTCTTGGAAAGTCCTGGAAAGCCAAGATGTCTGACAACAGGCTTGCTGCGCTTGTAAAGTGGGAAAGGATTGTGGAAGCTCACTCCGAGCATTTTGGCTTTGTCGCCGAAGCCCGCCGTGAGCCTGAGCTGGCTTCGTACTCCTTGCATGATGTCTTGAGTGATATTTTCTCGGTGAAAGCCAGCACCACTTTGCACACCCGGTCAGGTCCCCTGCTTAGGTTCCTTAAGTTCTGTCACGACGAAAGGCAAGCCCCTTTCCCTCTTCGCGAGAGCTTGATTTACTACTTCCTCAAGCAGTATGGTGCTAAGCAGGCCCCCACGTTTGCCAGCAGCTTTCTGGGGTCACTGGCGTTTTGCCACCACTTGTTAGGCCTTAAGTGCCAGGACGAGATTTTCTCCACCAGGGTTACGGGTGCAGTCCGAGGCCTTTTCCTTGAAAAGAGAAAGCTTGTGCAGAAGCCCCCTCTTCTGGCTGCCTTCGTTCTTGCCTTGGAAAATATCGTTCTCGGACAGGGTGATTTCAGCTGGGCGGACAGGTACGCTGCCGGATGCTGCCTTTTTGCAATCTATGCCCGTGCGAGGTTCAGTGACATGCAGTCTTGTGGAAACATCTTTGAGGATATTGCCTACATTGATGGCAAGCCTCATGGATTCTTGCAAGCCGACATCACCAGGACGAAAACTGCATACACCTTGGAGAGAAAAACCAAGTACTTGGCTATGTGCGCTCCGATTTGGGGCTTGGCGGAGAAGCCGTGGGCAATCGCTTGGAGGGCTATCGCTAAGGATCACGGCCCCCCCTGCGGGGAAGACTTGCCACTGTTGCCCTCTCCTGTGGAGAGTGGGGGATGGCAGGAGACACCTGTCAGTGTTGAGGTTGGAGCCCGCTGGCTCCGCAGCCTCCTGCATCGCATGGGACTCGAACCTGCTTCCGCGGTTAGGCTTCTAGGGACCCACTCGATGAAAGCAACGGTTTTAAGCTGGGCTGCGAAGTGGGGCATGTCTAAGGAAATTCGGATGATCTTGGGGTACCACAGCTCCTCTAGATCCGATAGCGACGTGGTCTACGGCAGAGACAACGTAGCCCCCGCGCTGCGAGAGCTAGTTTCTATGCTTCCGTCCATTGCCCAAGGTTCCTTCAGACCAGATGCCACTCGAAGCGGCATGTTCATATCGATTCCAGCTCCTGCGGAGTCCGGTGATGGTGATGATATATCTCTCTCTTCTGAAGGCAGCGAAGACGAGGAGAACAAGGACCCCGCCGCCGAGGACGAGGCCGTCGATTCAGTCGTGGGCCTTTGGGAGCCCTCGGAAGGGGTCCGTGAGACTCTTGAAAGGGCTCCTGTCTTCAGGCATGAGGTAACAAGGTTCCTTCACATTGTGGCGTCTGAGGAAGGGTCTCATTTCAAGTGCGGGAGAAAGATCTCAGCCTCTTATGTTCGCTGTGAGAACTTGCCGAAAGTTTTGTTTCCAGTTTGCAAGCAGTGCTGTCCCGACGTGAAATCGGTCGAGGCGGGCACTGACGCGGGATAGTCTTTTGCTGTCGCAAGGGCGACACAACGAGGGGCGATTTTGTGTGCTTAAAGAGTTGGTTGCTCGCTTTCATGACGGTTCCAGTCTCTTTACAGGAGGGGCGAATGATTCAAGTTGAACAGTCCATGCTGAGGTCATTGCACATGCTTAGGCCTGGGCTTCTGCCCCCCTTTGGAGACCTGGTAGAGTGCTTTGAGGGATCAGATGCGGGGGCAAGTGTTCTTGTGAATGCTCCTTCGGAAATGTGTCTCAAGGCGCCAACTGGCGGAGGCAGCAACATGGCCGCTTCTTACTCAGATAGCCGTAGTGTTTTCGATGCCAGGGTAGACGCATGTGGACTACCGAAGGAAGATGCTGCGAAGGTCAAAGCGGCGGTGGCTTCACTTCGGCAACTCGCCTTCATATCCAGCTTTACTCCGGGTCAAGCGGATGAGGCCCCACTTATGGCTGCTCTGAAGTCGATGTTGGGCCGTGATGCTGAATTGGCTGTCCAAGCTAGCTTCAGGGCATTGTACCACGAGGCTTATGCTATTGTTACTTCAGAGATGCGCCAAAAGATCGAGAAGAGTGAAGAGCCCACGGCGAGAAGGCTCACCCAGCCCGAGCGTGCCGAGAGGCATGAGAAGCAGGTCGCGAAGCTCGTGGGTGTACTTATCAAGGGCCCTTCGGAGCCCAGCGAAGCACTCGTCGACAAGGCCGTTTCAGCCTATGAGCAAAATGAGCTGAGGTACATCTCTTGGGAGTCTTGCACCTCCCGGGAGCAAGAAGTTGCTTCGGAACGCAAGAAGGATACTCGCTTTACGATCGATGAGCATTCCGGGAAGCTTAAAGTTGAGAATAAAGATGCTGAGGACAAGGCCTCCACTGCTTCGGAGGTCCATGTGCTTCAGGCTTTGCAGAGGCGATCGCTTGCCCTGGATCAGGCAAATCTTGTAGAGTACACCCTGATGCAACAGTGGTCGGACCGCCTGTTGCGAGCCAGGATGGACGATCCACCGCCCCAGTACAGCCGTCCGTCTTGGAGCCAGCTTGTGGCTGCAGACAAGAAGCTCTTCAGTGAGCTGAGGGATCTGACGCGCAACCCCCCGTTCTTTTCAGACTAAATTAACTCCCCGCTCTGTAAGCCCAGGGATCCTGCGCCTCCAAGCGCTGGCGCTGTGGTGCGGCGCAAATTCTCTACGACCCCGATGAACCCTCTACAGGGATTCTGCGTGTCGAAGCGCTGGCGCTGTGGTGGGGCGCAAATTCTTTACATCGCCGATGAACCCTCTACAAGGATCCTGGGTGTCCAACCTGAACAAATCCTTGGCCGCACCTCCGAAAAAAGAGGGTTGGCCGCACCTTCGAAAACCCCCCCCCCCCCGCCGTTGCTAAGGGCCCTCTCCCTTGCTCTTTTGCAAGCATAAACGTCGTGGGAATCCCCACGTCTGTTCCCCAAGTGCGGCCTCGGAGCAGTGCTCATAGGCGAGGGAATCGCAAGCACCTGGGGGCTACAGATTAGCCGCCAAGTAGCGACCCAGTGGGTCGCTAGCGCTCAGAAGCAACAGCTCGTTTTCGAGTGCGAGCTGCTGCCATACTTGCTGAGCCTACAGTTGTGGGCAAAGCACATAGCAAGCAGTGACCTGTTCGTGTGGATTGACAATGACGCAGCGCGTACATCCCTACACAAGGCCTTCACAAGGAAGGCGGAAGGCGCCGCAATAGTATCGCAGGCAGTCGACTTGGAGGAGTCCCTGCAGTGCAGGGCTGCTTTCTTCCGCGTGCCCACCGTCAGCAACATTGCTGATGGCCCCAGCAGAGACTGGTGGGAAGAGAATGAGAAACTTGGCGCAGAGCGCCAATTCCTTCCTCCCAACGCAGTGCCGTTGGCCTTGTCACTCGGCGCGGACTAGATGGGGGGTGGGTAAGGCTTCGAGTGCCTTCAAGGGGGGTGGACGAGTCGTTCGCCTTACCTTCGACCAGTGGTCGATCCTTCCAAGAAGATGCCAGCGGCATCGGTGTGTGCAGTGCCCGAAGACCGGGCCCGAACTCATCCCCCATATCCGCTAGGAGCCAAAAAGGAGTGATCTTTGCACAGCACTGGTGGGGTAGATTGGGGTCATGTGTACTTCGATTGCTACATATCCTGATTTACTTCAGTCATACGGGGCACCTGTTCGTGGACGACTACTTGATATCACAGATTGCATCCATCCTTCCGGTCACGGGAGCCATGATTTGCCTGTTGCTTCAAGTGCTGGGGATACCCCTCAGCTGGAAGAAGCTTCAGATGAGCGAAAGGGTTCAGTGGATTGGTTGGAGTTTCTGTTTTTCCTCGGGTATCGTCTCGTTGCAAGAAACCAAAAGGATCAAATTGTTGGGTATGGTCCAGGATTTG